ATTTCCTGCTAGGAGATCCTACTCCCCTAATGTTAAGGGGGCCTGTTTTTTTGCGTGTCTCAAGTACATACCCGCATGATCCTACACACACACACACACACACACGCACACACTCAGATTGAATTGGGCTTTCTGTATTTTCTCTGGCATCCCTATTCCATTAGGATGGCTCCAAAACCAAGTCACAGGCTGTCACAACGCGCAGAAGTGCGACATCTGCAGCCGAGGGGAGAGATGGAGAATGTCCACCCGCTTCTGCCCTTTTCAATGCTTTCTTCACTCAGATCACTCAATACAATTTCATTCGACAGGTTCTTAATCAAAAAGTGACAATCCTTAATGCTGGGCACTGCAATAGACAGAATCAATTCAGAGCAAGCAATTCTAAGTTAATTCTGTGCACTGCAAACACACTTAATCATGACAGACTCGTGACAGACATTCCCTCTGCATGCCAGCTCAAGTGCCAGATCAAAAGTCTCAAGCCTTAGGCCAGAAGTCCAGCAGATGCGAGGTCACTCAGGCCGCAGTGATCAGGTCAGGAAGCAGTGGAGGCAGGCTTCTCCTGGGGTGGAGCTGACGGCCAGCTGAGGAGAGGGTCCTAAGGAGAAGTTGCTGTCCTCACCAGGGTCCCGATGTGGCCGTAGAGTTTGAGAGCGGTGAGGACGATGCAGAGGAGCAGGCCAACAACGAGAAGAGTTGGGGTGTCAGTCAGGTCCTCCTCTGGCTCTCCAGCATGTGGGCATCGTGTCGGCTGGCTGAGTGTGTTCATTTGCTCCACCATTTATGCTAAATTTCGGGGTTTCTACTCGCCCTTTCAATCCCTATTAGCCGTTACCAGGTTTCTCGGTGACATCTTGCATTTTAGGGTCAGGACATACGGTTTGGTGATTTCCGCCCTGATATCACACTTCTGACTCTTATCAGGGTTGTGGAAAGTGGCTTGTTTTATTGGGCTATGTCTGATTGGCATATCGGAGGGCTCTGTTGGCTGTGCCTGGTAGGACTGCAGTTTTTATTTTAAAATGGAGTTGCTTAAGCTAAGGCCATCCTTACACATGCCCCCTCAGCAGGGCCAAGGGTCAGGAGAGGACCCAACAAAGGAGCCCAGACAGGGCTTTCCCTTCCCCTAGGGAGCCAACTGCCCAGACGCCATCGAGGGCCACAGGCTCACACCTGAGCCACGGTCTCCAGGACACGACCTGCCCTGATCGGCTCAGGCCTGGGCACCTGCACCAATTGCTGGCCAGGGCTTGCTGGGACCCTGACCACCCTGAGCCAGTTCTTTAAGTGAGACCAGGAGTGGACAAGGGCTGTAACCCTGCTCTCTCTAAAGACAGCAGGAATCGGGCCTGTCCTCCTCGTGGCCTCTTCCTCACAGCATATGGGCCAGCAGCTCTCCAGGCCACTCCTGGGCCTCTCAGCTTCACTAGTCCATTCAGACTCGCCCTGCCCGCTCCTCCCCATGCTCCTGGCTGGCTTGCCCCAGTGGTTTCTCTGCCCCCCTCTACCTGGCTGGCTTCCCTCCCCTTAACTTCCCCCACAGGCTCTCTTCTCCAGCCTTTCCACCCCAGGCCCACCCGGATCATCACCCTGAGCGGACTCTTGGTGCCCTCCAGGGACTCACCAGGGAGCCTATTTACAGAGCTGAGACTGAACCCTGGAGTGGCAGAATGCTCTGACAGAGGTCCCCTCCCTCTGTCCCCTCCTCCCTGTCTTGCCTCAGGCCCGGAGAATACAGATGCTTGAGAAGAGCAGGGCTCCGAGGGGTACAGGACAGGCCTGGGCAGCCCACCCGGTCCACACTCCCAGCCCATCTGTGACCAATGCCATTCATTCCTCCCTCTAAATAAACGTCTCTTTCTCCTTTCTTATTTCTTATTTTGCACTTCCATATTATAATTTACAGTGAACATTCCTAATATTCGAAGTTCCTTGTTTCCAACAGACCCATATTTCCGTGTCCTGAAATTAATATGAATGTTATAGTAGATGTAGAAATAAACTCATCCACAGGTAGAATGTGTGCCCCAGTCCCCAATCTCACTTTCTGGGAAAGTCTCTCTGACGTCGCCCCCTTTTGAAGTCATGTGCATTATTAACAGTAAAAAGTTCACTTTCTTATGAAGAACATAGACACTCTATGAATATGTGCTTTGGGGAAAACTGGACACACACACAAAAGTGAATCTGCAAACTGAATGTCCCTGAAGTCCATTCCCTGCTCCTCATCCCAACCCCTGGCTGACAGTGCTGGCTGGTCCCTTGTTTTCCAGTGTGGAGAACAGTTGGAGCAGATTAGGAACAGAAAAGACCCTACGGCTATTGCAAAACTCCACCAGGAGAGTAAAGGGAGTTGGTAACGTGAGGTCGGCTGGGCCATCTAATCAAATCAGTGCTTTCTTCTATACTGAGCATAAGTAGTGCTACAGGCACGTTTTTGTTTGTTTGTTTTGCTTTGCTTTTGGTACCAGGGATTGAACCCAGGGGTACTTAACCACTGAGCCACATCTCCTGTTCTCTCTCTCTCTCTCAATTTTGAGACAGGCTCTTGCTAAGTTGCTTAGGCTGGCCTCAAATTTGTTATCCCCCTGCCTCAGTCTCCTGAGTTGCTGGGATTACAGGCATGTTCCAACCCACCTGGCCTGATAAGACTTGATTTCAAGATAGTTTTCTACATGTCAAAAAGTATCATTTGCACAAGAGAAAGAAGAAAATGGAAAACAAATTTGAGCTTTTTCCTGACATTTCGGGCATTGACCATGATAGAATGGGGTCCACATTCCTGACTCTGCCTGAAAGGACGGAAGTGGGTGGACACTAGGAGAAACATTTTCCCCAGAGTCTAGAAACTGGGCCCTTCACCAATCCAAAAGGCTTGGAAATGGAAATAAAGGGGGTCTTGGTCCACGTGATGAGCATCAGTTCAGGTCTAGTTCTGGGATTCCAGACGTGACCCTTGCCCTCGAGAAGCTTATCAGCTGATCACAAAGCAGTGACCCCACAATGCGCTGAAAGCCCACCAGATAAGTCCCACAGGAGCAGAGGAAAGGGAAGACAAAGAGCTGGCAGGTTGGGGCAGCACCGAGAGAGGACAGAAGCTCACACTGGGCCTGCTGCGTCTGGATCTTACTTCTTCCCCAACGGTCCATGTGGCTTGGCCCCAGGCAGGGCCACTGGAGGTGGTGGAGCTAGCAGGAGGCCTGGAGGTCACTGGGTCATGTCCTTGAAGGGGACGGGGGCACCCTGGCCCCTCCCTGCTCTCCCTCTTGCTCCCTGGCCATGTGTTCCCCCTGGTGTGCTGCCTCACTGCAGGCCCAAGGGCCACTGGGACACCCAGCACAGAACGGACCCTCCAAACCGTGAGCCCCAGCAATCCCTCTTCACCAGATGACAGACCCACGCGTCTGCTGCCGTGGGCAGGAGCTGGCTGACGCTCTGAGCTCCCGCCAGCCGGCTCCTCGGGGTCTCAGACCCCTGCAGGTCATGACTGAGACCCGAGGAACCTGAAGTAGAATTGCCCTGGAGATGGGGCCTCTGCTGTGACCCCTAACTTCTAAGCTGCCCCAGGAGTGGACAGCGCACACTGGGCCTGAGCGTGGCCTCACAGTGGCCATTACTCTGTCTTCTTTCCTCCAGCAAAAGAGGTGAAACCGACTTCCAACATTTCCCCCCTGGCAGGGCAGCCAGGGGGACAGGGAGAGGACGAGGACGTCATCAGTGGTTGGCTGGCCTGCCGCAGCCTTGATGGCTCTTGTTCTGTCTAATCAGTGCCTCCAGCTGTGCTGTCAAATCCCACTGTCCGTCTCCGGCCACGGCTCCGGCCACGGCTCCGGCCACGGCTCCGGCAGGCCCCTTGTTTCTTTTGATCATTTCCAGTTACTAGAAACCCTTCAGGACTCACGTCCAATTCAAAGCCTTCAGGGGTCCCATTTCCCACCATATTAGAGGGCTACAGGATTCGAGGGCTGGGTCCCTCCTGCCGAGGTCTGGTTGCACCTGCCCAGGAAGCAGCTCTCAAGTTGGCCTCAGGTGGGTCCATCTCCCCTGTGTTTCCTGGGGTGACGCCCAGACCCACGCTGGACACCTCCATGACTTCGGACGCCTTCAAGAGAGATGCCCAGGCTTCCCTTCCAGCCCTGCCAGGGGTCCAAGCCCTGAATGCTCTCCCTGGGCCAGGTGTCTGCCTGTGTCCATTGTCGCTGCTGAAATACAACAGCAGAGACCAAGCACTTCAAAATGAACAGTGCATGCTGACCCTCAGTCCTGGGGCTAGCAAGTCCAGGTTCCAGGGCATCTGGCATCTGGTGAGAGTCTTCTCACTGTGTCATTGCATGGTGGGAAGTGGACACACCAGAGACAGAGAGGCCCAACTCGCCCTTTTATGATGACCCCCTCCCCACCATAATACCTTTAATCTGTTCAGAATCAGGGAGCCTCATAGCTTAGTGACCTCTTAAAGGTCCTCCTTGGTACTCTGTTACAATGGCAATTAAGTTTCAACGTGAGTTTTGGAGGGGTGAACAAGCAAACCCCAACAGTGTCTCTCACCTCGGGCAGCCCGGGCAGCCCGTGACTCCTGGCTGCCCTCCACGTCATGGTCATTCACACGAGCCACAGAGGTCTGCAAGGGCCTCTACACTGCCTTATAGGTGCTGCAGAAATAGGAGGTGGAGTCCCCCTCCCTCTTTTCCTGGGCAGTTGCACCATGGTCACCACTTGCCCAGCCATCCCCAGCTGCCCCCACTGTCCTGCCCCCCAAAGGCCGTCCTGACAATAGGACAGAGGAGCCGCATGCTGCGGCCCCATGCACTGGCCAGGAAGAAGCTTCCCAGGGCTCTTGCTCACAAGCACCCCAGTCTCTAAGAGCTGTGGACTGGGAGCCCCCCGTGTGCATGTGGCCGAGTGTCGGGGGACACTGCTGGCTTGGGTTCAGAGCAGAGCTCCTCCCCCTCCTTCTGCTAGAATACCATCAAATAAAATCACAACATACGAAACAAGACATTTCCTGTATTTTATTTAGTTTATTCTGTGAGAAGAATTCTATTTGTCTCCTCCTTACGACGAGAAAGTCGAGATTTAGAAGCAATAAAGTGGTCTATCCAAGATTGCACAATCAGAAGGCTCCAGGCACCTGTTTGTTTTATAACCAAGAAATTTCATGAACCTGAGCAAGGCTGGGCAAACCATGAGCTAAGAATTCTTCATGTTTTCCTTTATTATTATTATTATTATTATTTATGTTTTTTGGCAGTGCTGGGACTCTAACCCAGGGCCTGACACGTGCTAGGTAAGCACTCTACGGTGGAGCTCTATCCTCAACACAAGGTTGATATGTTTTTAAATATTAAAAAGTGTTTAAAAAAATCTAAGGAGGGCTATTTCAGGGCTAGGCTGTACTCAGTGGAAGAGCAGGCTCAGCATGAGCAAGGCCCTGGCTTTAATCAGACACAAACACGAAAAGAGGGATACTGTGCAGCCCGGGCAACTGACATGGGAAGTTCAAGTTCCGATTCGGTGAAGAAAGCTCCACTGGATACAGGCTCATGTGTCGTGGGCAGTGTCTGAGCGAGGGGTGTGAGAGGGACTCCTGCCTTTACAGAAGTCTGCCAGCCTCCACAGGGTCCTGGGGTGGCATCTCCAGGCTGCAGGGGGGTCCGCCGGCTCCACCTTGATCCTTCTGGGACCGTGGCTTCCACCGGTATCTTCTGATGGAAAGGCAAAGGAGGTGAGCAGAAGCAGGGACCCACTGAGGCCAGATCAAGTCACTTCCTCCCGCCTCCCACGTTCTCTGCCCACTCTGCAGTCACATGTCTAAGGCCAAGAATCTATCATTCTGATACCAGGAGGGAGCCAAGGGTTGGAAGCAAGGATCTCATTGGCCGCCATTGGGGATCCAGGGTATGAACTGGGCTGTGGGCCTCGGGAGTCTGTGTGCTCCGCTGCGTCTTCCTGAGCAGGCTCAGGTGCTCGAAGAAAAGAATGGGAAGGAGGGGCTGGGGACGTGGCTCAAGCGGTAGCGCGCTCGCCTGGCATGCGTGCGGCCCGGGTTCGATCCTCAGCACCACATACAAACAAAAGATGTTGTGTCTGCCAATAACTAAAAAATATTAAAATTCTCAAAATAAATAAATAAATCTTAAAAAAAAAAAAAGAATGGGAAGGAGGAGACAGAAAGTCCTCCCATCATCTCCCCACGGGGCTGTTCCCGCAACCATAATCAAAGCCCAGACGGCCAGAGGCCCTGGGACACCGCAGCAAGGGCAGCATATTCTTCTGCAGTGTCACTGTTGACACTGGAATGCAGAGAGGGACAGGAAGTGGAAAAATTCCAAAGATCATCCTTTCAGTCACCCCGTGGCTCTCTCGGAGCCTGCTCTGTCAGCTCTGAGGAGGTGGCCCGAGTCGGAGGCCCTTGCAAATGAGCAGGAGAAATGGAGTGAGGTGGTTTTGCACTCACTGTGTTTTTCCCTCCGCTGTGTGGTTTTCCACTCACGCAGGAAGACACAGTCACAGAGCCCCCGCAGCCGGGTAACAGCAGGCTTCGCGGACGTTGGAGCCGGGATGTGTCCCTTGTGCTGACTGACAGGGCCGCAGGAAGCAGGGAGAGGGTGACGGTGATTCCCAGGCTCCCACGGCTCCTGGGCCCCCCCGCGCTGGCTCTCCCTGCCATCATGAAATTGGATGCTTGCCAAGGAAGAGGGAGGAAGGAGTCATAAGACACACTCCTCACTCGGAGCCGCTGTGCTTAAAGAAGACACAGAGAAGAAAAGAAAGGAAGCGGATAATAGAGGGCGCTGACGTGTCGACATCTTAGGAGGGGGGCTGGAGTGATGTCCTCTCAAGGTCCACTGAAACTCCAGGAAGCTAGGAATCCGTCTTGGAACAGGCACGTCAGCAGTATCACATTTGGTGACACGTCTTGTGGCTTCAAGCCCCTGCGCATAGTGTCCTTCTGAATGATGCTCCAGAGAAAATCAAATTTTTTTGTTCTGGGAAAATGTCTTTGTTTACTTAGATGGAAGGATAAAACTCCCATTGGTTGAGGACGTATTTGCCCCAGGCACCAACGTCTATAGACAGGGTTCCATTCGGCCGTCCTGTGAGGCAGGCTTAGCTGTGTCCACTCTCCCCATGGGGAAACGGAGGCCGAGATGGAAAGGTTTGTGACCTCCTAAGACACGACAGCCTCTAAGCAGAAGAGCTGGACGAAAACTGGGTTCAGTTTTCATTCATTTGATAGATTCACAAAGGAATAGGCTAAAGCACTTGATCTCCAAGGGGTCGTAACTTGGTTAATTTTGATACATTTTTTTTTATTGAGATTCAAAACCTTCCCAATTATGAGTTCCCCGCAGCCCTGACTTGCCTACTGATGGGACCCTGGTGGAGGTGGAGACCAGCCCCAGTCGAGCCCCCTTCGCCCTCCCTGCAGCTTGTTTTTGAAGCATTTCAAAGAGAATTATTCTCATCAGTATGCTTCTCCTAAATAATTCAGCATGCCCGTCATTAGCTACAGCTCTGTATTTATTCACATTTTTTTTTGAAGGTTAGAATCTGCTTGCAATGGCAGGCCCAGGTCTTAAGTGCTCTGTTACAGAGTTTCCAGACACACATGCACTGTGCATCCAGCCTCCCGTCACCCAGAAAGTTCCCCCACGCCCCAGCTGATCCCATCTCCAACTTCCAGACACAAGGGAGGTATGATATAGGCACATGGCCGCGAGACCCATTGGCCTCACCACTTGCTCCAATGTCCAGAAACTCCTGAGCTCAGAGGACAGTCCAGGGGCCCACTAGGGGCTCTTCCAAGGCGCCTGGTAAGGGTGGTGTCTTGCACTCGGGTGCGCATCCTCTAGGACTCTGGGATGCTGTGCATATGCTGATGGTCCATGCGCAGGGCCCTGTGTGCAGACATTAGAGGCCACTGCCCAGGAAGCAAGAGCAGCCCCTCTTGCCAATTCTGCAAACAGGCTCTGCTAGACTCCAGGCCTCAGTTGCTGGGGACAGGGGAGGTTCCAACTGTTCCCACGGGGACAGCGTGAGAGTTCTACTGAACTTGAAACTACACCTACTACTGGTCATTGTGGACTCCTCGTGCCAATGGACCTGTAGGCAAAGGAGTGCTGGGGCTGGGGTCCCACATCCTCTCAAGGGCACGCCCCCAGTGGCCTGCCCCCCCCCACGGGGCACCCCCTGGAACTTCCCTCCCCCTCCCAATAGTGTCATGGGATGGTGGCCAAGCCCTCAACGCAGCAGCCCTTGGGGGACATTTAAGATCCAAACCAAAGCCAAAGCCAGTTTAAAATAAGAAAAGCTGTAACCAACTAAAACACCAAAGAAGATAAAAACGACCAGGAATGAGGAGGAAGCTTGACTCCGGATCTAGTGGGAATTTTGAAATGACATATAAATACTAGGAAAAACTTTATGTTAATGCATTTCAAAATTTAGATAAAATGAATAATTTGCTAAAGGAATACTTGTCACCATATTTTAAAGACAAAAAACCTGAATAAAACAATTAGTGGTAAAAAAATCGAATCAATTCATAAGTTTCCCTACCTCCCCAAACACCCAGGAACAGATAATCCGTAACTAAAAAATGTGTTTCAGAAAATGAGGAGGAGGGCTGGGGATGTGGCTCAAGCGGTAGCGCGCTCGCCTGGCATGCGTGCGGCCTGGGTTCGATCCTCAGCACCACATACAAACAAAGATGTTGTGTCCGCCGAAAACTAAAAAATAAATATTAAAAAAAAATTTAAAGAAAGAAAATAAGGAGGAGAGGGAGAGGACAAGGCTCCTCAAAGTCGGACAGAGGCCAGGGCGAGCAAGGAGAAGCAGAGCCCCGCTTACTTCTGAAGGGAGACGCCTCACACCTCGAGGAATAGCTCAGCAGAGAGAAACCAGATTTATCCCATTCCATCCCAGGAATGCAAGAATAATGCATCACGTCATGTCTTGGTGATATTTCAATTACAGAACTGCTCTAGACTCCTTCGGTTTGGGCCAGAACGTTCCCCAAACCTCCCGTGCTGAAGGCATGGTCCCTGGGCAGCACTGTTCAGGGGGGACTCTGGGGAGGTGACTGGCAGGTGAGGGCCCTGACTCATCAGGGGGTCAGTCCACCACTGGGTTCTTACTGTGATGGCACTATTGGGGGTGGTGAGACCCGAGGAGGTGGGCCTAGTTGGAGGGGAGGGTCCTTGGGGGTGTGGCACTGGGGACGGCTTCCCCTCCCCCCGGCCTTCTCTCTACTCCCGGGGCCACCAGGAGTTGACAGCCTTCCTCTTCCCCGCCCTTCCTCCCCACAGCCCAGGAACAGGGAACCGGCCACCCACAGACTGCAACCCCTGAGACCATGAGCCAAAATAAATTTTCCCTCTTTCAAGTTGTTCTCCAAGGAGATTTTGTGACAGACAACAATGTTTAAGGAAACTCACAGTCTCCTTGACCTAAATCCTCCTGGGCTGGGGATATACCCCCCTGTTACAGCAGGAGGTGGAGGGCCAACCCCCAGCACCACGAAAAATAAATAAAGATGCAGAGAACAGGCTAGAGTTAGACAGGAACTTTCTTACCCAGCCAACAGGATTCATGAAACCTTCACTAAATCTACTCAGTGGTGAAACTTTTGAAAAGGCGGCATTAAAATCCTAAGTGAGACAAGGAAACCGTTTCTTTTCAACATTTTACTGAACCACCGACTAATACAGTGAGACCAGAAAGACACGAGATGTATGAATCTGAAGAGGCAAAGCAGTCATCTGAAGATAATATGATCACCTGCATAGGAATTCCAGAGACTCTACAGACTGTTAGAAGTAAGAAGAGCCCAGACATGAAGTGCACACCTGTGATCCAGCCATTCCGGAGGCTGAGACAGGAGCATCACAGGTTCAAAGCCAGTCTGGGTAACTGAGAGAGACCCTGTCTCAAAACAAAAATAAAAAGGTCTGTGGCCAGGCAGGTGGCACAGCCCTGTAATCCCAGCCACTTGGGAGGTGAAGACAAGAGAATCACAAGTTTGAGGCCAGCCTCCACAACTTAGAAATGTTATAAAAATTTTAAAAGCCTGGGGGTTGAGAAAGAGAGAGAGAGCACGAGAGAGCAAGTGCACATATCCCTACGTTCACTCCACCATACTGCAAAAAAAAAAAAAAATATATATATATATATATATATATATATATATATACCTCCATACTAACAATAATTACTGGAGCTAATATACAAAATACAGATGTCCCCAACAAATGATGTTTCTTTGTTGTTGTTGTTTGGTTTTTTGGTACTGGGGATGGAACTTTGGGACACTCAACCACTGAGCCACATCCCCGGCAGTTTTTTTGTATTTTATTTGGAGACAGATTCTCACTGAGTTGCTTAGGGCCTTGCTAAGTTGCTGAGGCTGGCTTTGAACTCATGATCCTCCTGCCTCAGCCTCCCAAACCACTGGGATTACAGGTGTGCACCACTGTGCCCAGCTGACTTGATAATTTTTTGACTTTACAATGATGCAAAGGCAATGTGTGTTTATTAGAAACCCTACTTCAAATTTTGAATTTAGATCTTTTCTGATTGCAAGACACTGATGTTGGGCCAGGAGTGGTGGTGCATGCCTGTAATCCCAGAAGCTTGAGAGGCTGAGACAGGAGGATCGTGAGTTCAAAGTTACCCTCAGCAATGGCGAGGTGTTAAGCAATTCAGTGAGACCCTGTCTCTAAATAAAATACAAAATAGGGCTGGGGATGTGGCTCAGTGGTCGAGTGCCCCTGAGTTCAGTCTCCCGTTAAAAAAAAAAAAAAAGGTACCGATGCTGGGCGGAGGCAGGGAGCACAGCCCCCGGTCCACTCACGAGGGCAAGCGCGGGTGCCCCATGGTGCCTGAGTTGCTGAGTTGGGACGGCACCAGGCCAGCTGCATGAAGCGCATTTTGAACTACTTTCAACTTAGGGTGTGTTATGAGGGTGTCATCCCATTGTAAGTCAAGAAGTATCTGCTCCATGTGCAATAATAACTCACAGAGCAAATGGAAACTTTAAAAAAAATAGGATTACATTTAAAATAACGAGACAAAATAGTTACCACACAATCCACAGATGATATGCCACACCCAGAGAGAGGATGAAGCGGCTTTCTGAAGGACGTAAATAGATTCCTCATATTCATGCTTGAGGGGGAAGACTCAACATCAAATATTGTCACTTTTCCCCAAACTAATGCAGAAAACTCAATGCAATTTCAATCAAAGCTCCAATATTGTTTTTCATGAAACCCGACAAGGTGGTGATAAAATTCATAAGGAAAAGCAAAAGACCAAGAATAATGGCGAGGCTCTGGAGATGAAGAATAGTGGACATGTCGGGAACAGCTGCTCAGGGTAGCAGCTGGGTGTTGGCACTGGAGGTCACAGGCCCTTGGCCCCAGGCGTGGGTGACATTCTTTAG